CCCCCCTTCCACATTATTTTTTTGTAGCCTAGGCCAACCCCATACCCACAATCCTCCTGCTTCCGCCTCAGCCTTCCTTCTAGGTACTGGGATTATAGCCATGCAGTACCATGTTTGGCTCTGCACGCTATTTTGCATGTTTACAATCAGCTCTGATTTCTAATTTTCTCCAAAATTGATGTGTATTTGAAGCAGGAAGTGACTTGAAGTAGGGCTGGGAACTGGACATGAGCCCTGTGTTGGCCCTCACAGTCCTGGCTGTGTATTTCGGTTCCCTTGTTTCTAGGCATGTGAGGTTTATGCTTTCTACATCTAGTCACAGCTACATGACTTTTCTGCCAATAAAACATGATTGAGAGCAACATCTGCCACTGCCCGACGGGACCCTTTGAGAACCCACACACCTCCTCCTCCATGCTGTGAAGACAGCAGGTGCCTTCGGGTGTCCAACCCAGGATGGACATTGGGTTGGATGTGAAGCGTGAACAGTGGGGGTTCTATGTTGCTTTATGACATGGAGATTTGGGGGCTGTTCCTTACTGCATGCAGCACTTGTTGACTGATACACAAGATCTTGCTGGCTAAGGAATTCAGACCATATATTGTTTGCCATTCCAAGTTGCAAGAGACGCTTTTGTGGGTTTGTTTTGCCAAAGTAGAGAAAGGGCTCGGCTGTGGCCCATCATGATCCAGACTTTTCATGCTTCAACTGGCACGTGTTAATTCAGTCACCTGTAGATTACAGTCATGGATTTTTTGATGGTGATGAGTCATTTCCATATCTTGAACATGGTGATTTTTATATGAATCAGCACATATAACAAAATGTCACATCATTGAGCACAAAGGTATACCAAACAACAGAAAGGAAATAAATGTATCTCCAAACTGGTGGAAGCCTAGTAATGGCCATGTGCTAATTAACTGTAGTGTTGCTAGTGTTGGGGTTTTCAGGTTTTGCGATATTGCTCTTGTGAGAAGCTGGCTGATGGGTGTATGGGACTTCCTGTATCAGTTCTGACCTCTTCCTATGAGTCTATCATTACTTCCAAATCAAATCTTATGCATTGACCAAGGCAGTGACTTGTGGCCAGTCCCAAATCAGTCAGTGCAAGTTAGCACCAGTTTGGCAGGAAGTTTCACACTGTCAGATTGAGCTTCTTGCCTTCCCTCACCCAACAATCCACAATTTCCCCCCTCGGAAATGGGTTCTGTCTGCAGCCTGTTGACTAGGCCGCTCCAGTCCCACTTAGAACACAAGCCACAGTAAACATTTCTATGAAGCTGCTAAGTTCGTTAGGCAACCAGAAGAGCAAGCGCCCTCCCATCGCATGCTCATAACCACATATACCTACCCTCATTCTAAAGGCAACATTCTCCTTCCCCGGACTTCGCTGTGTTGCACAGAGTTCCTCTGCATCTCTTGGGGCTGGGAGCAGAAACAGGAAACCTGATACCCAGGGCGGCAGAACTACCTGACTAATAATAATCACTATCCCCAGGAGCCTAGTAACCCAGCACTCATGGATTAGACTGTTGACCTACTCGTTGGCTTGTGACCTCTCATTCCCCTGGATATGTGTGCTCTGATTCTGTTCTTACTGACACAGGTAGTTCTGTGCCTTATCCCGAAGTGATGGGGGAAACCAAAAGATAGCTTAACGTCTGTGAGTTACACATAGAGACGAATGCATGGGTCGCATGGCCCTGCGGTCATTTTCACTGAAATTGCTCTGGGGTGACCATCTGGGAATGTTCTTCCTGTTGGATAGGGGAACAATGCACGCATTTTCGAAATGCATAGCATGCATACCCCTTGGGTTTCCATAGGGATCTTGGCAGCCAGGACTGATCTCTTTACCCCTCCACATAAGGAATAAACACATAAGCATAAGGAATGCTTGACTTTCCCTTTGTGATTTTATTCATTTGCATTTCAGTAAGATGCTGTATATGGTAATGATTGTCCTGCTCTGAGGGGGGAGATGGGAACCTTAGGAGGTAGGACCTGGGGGGAGGGGGAGGATACTTTATAGGGCTTTTCTAAAGGTCACATTAAGTACTTAAATACTTATCATACATAAGAATCTCTGTGGGGAATACAAGTTAACTATCAACAAATTTTACTCTCTAACAGAATTTTTTTCTGTCAGATAAATATCAGTGACTGGAACAGAAAATAATGTGGGGTTTGGTATCAGTTCAAGGCCCCAGCTCATTACACAGGTGCGACCTCATTCCAAGTGTTTCTCTGCCCTTCTTTCTGACCAGAAACTATGCAACTGAGACTGACTTTGAACTGCTAATCTGACTGCCTATACCTCTTAAGTTTGGGGATCACAGGCCTATACCACCACACCCGGTTCTGTTTCCTTTTTTTAAAGGATGAGGGTTGTGGCTGCACCTTGCGTTACCCCTCCAGCTTCATGATTCCTGGACTCAGGAAACTAACAGGACCTCTGTTGGCATGCCTGCTTTCCTAGACCCTGTTGATGCTTTCCTTCCTTCCAGAGTCAGCCCCTTTCAACATCTGCTCTTGTTACCCAAGATCAGGACTTTCCACCTAAAATGGCCAATTTCATCATAGCCACTGAGATGCTTGCTGTCGGATATGAGGAAATCACTTTATTTCACCTTTTCCTAAAGTGGGGCTCTATTAGTAACCATGACCCGAGTCTCCTGGGATCAAATGCCAGTGATCTGGTCTGATGTGGTCTTTAAGGAGGACTGACATCATGTGTGCCCTGCCCTTTACTTCCTTGTGGCATTCAACTTTGGCACAGGAGATAGCTGGTCTCCTTCTAGTTAAATGTAATAATTATCTTCTCTCTTCTAGGGTTGTAGACACTCAGCATGTCTCCTTACAGCTTGATCAGTGCTTATCAACAGCTCATTACTATTTGCCTTTTTCAAATGAGGAAACTGAGGCTCAGAAGTGTTAAATGATGCAAAGCCAATATCATTTCCATGACCACTGGCTGACGATCTTTGCTCAAAGCTTCAGACTTGGGTTATAGCCCAGAACGGAGGCGGCCAGGATAAGCTGACTCCAGGTGCTGTAAACATCTCAGCACAGTCCACATCCATCCCTGACAGTGAGGGGAAGATGCTCTGTGCTGCTTCCTGCACCCCTCTTTGCACATTAGAGGGAGCCTGTTATTCTCCTCAGTCTTTCTTAGACATCACAGTCTAGACTTGAATTCCCAAGTTAACTATTTGTTTCATGAGGCTTTCTGCACCTGAACAGGCAGGTGATCCTGGATATTCTCGGAAGAGGTAGGCCTGAGAAGGGGTAATAGTCAATCATGTTCCCCCAAGTCCATCCAGACTTCAAAGTTGAGAGTGCTCCGTAAACACAGGATCCCTGAAAAAACAACTCCGCATTCTCTCCATGCAAAATCCTGCCATGAACATATTGTTCACTTGTTCACTGGAACCTGACTGCATCCCTTTCTGACCTCTCCCATCCTGGATTTAAAGTCAAATTGATTTGTGGGGGTCCATCTTTTCCCCATTTTTTTTACTCTGTGATCTCATTTAAATTGGCACCCTGAAAAGTTGGAGGGGGGGTTATTGTCTGTTGTTCAGTTATTTTGTGTAGATTTATTTTATTTTTAAGTATATGTATGTGTGTGTCTATGTGTGCATCTGTGCACATGAGTGCAGTGCCTGTGGAAGCCAGAAGATTTGGGTTCCCTTGGGAGCTGGAGTCATAGGTGGTTGTGAGTCACCCACTGTAGATGATGGGAACCAAACTCGGGTCCTCTGCAAGAGCAGTGTGTGTTCAACTGCTGAGCCCCATCTCGAGGCTCATGTTGTGAGAGCAATGCGCCCAAGTATTTGAAAATATCTCACCAGGGACAGGCTCTGAATAGACAGTCCCGTCCACACCCCACCCCACCCCCACCATTATGGAAACCGGCTCTTGGAATCCTTTGTTGTCTATTTGGTGTTTTCTTGGTGATCTGGGTGTCTGTGAGGCTTGCCTGCTTTTGTACTTTGTAAATATGAATTGTTCTTCATTTTTGTGTGTAGGTATATTTGCACATGTGGGTACATGTTTGTTTGGGTGCAAGTGTGCGCACAGATTTGGGTGTATATGTGTGTGTGCCTCTGCATGTGAATGACTAGACTAGGTCAACTTAGGGTGTAATTCCTTAGGACCATCCAAGTTTGGTTGGGTGGTTGCTTTTGTTTGTTTCGTTCTGTTTTTTTATATAGGTTCTGTCACTGGCCTGGAGTTTGATGAGTAGGCTGTGCTGACTGATCAGCAAACCCCAGGATCCTCCTGTCTCCACTCCCTAGGACTGGGATTGTAAACACATGCCATCACATCTGGCTTTCTTTTTTACTTGAGTTCTCAGGATGGAACTCAGGTCCCCACACTGTTATGGCAAGAACTTCAGTGACTGGGCTATCTCCCCATCCGTATCTTTAATTTTTGTAAAGGGAGTATTGTGACAAGGTCCCACTGTGTCTCCTAGTTTGGCCTGGAACTCACCCTGTGGCCCAGGCTGACCTCAGACTCATGATCCTCTGGGATGCTGTGACTATAAGCGTTGGCCACCGCTCCTGGCCGAATTGTCTCGAAGCAGGCTTAGCCGAGGCATTTCGGAACCTGAGTGGAAGCTACCGAGAGTCAAATGTCCATTCCGTGGTTGCTGGACATGCTCTTGTGGGGCTCCTATGGATGGAGCTTTTGGAACACAGACTGTAAGGAGATAACGTGATCTGGAAGACTCCTTGGAGCCTCTTCTGTGAGCTGAATGAAGCACAGCCCCCAGGCTGTGGCTTCAGCCGAGGCCCAGCCTCACATGCTCCCCGAACTTGGCAGTAAGAGCCCTGTTATTCCATTCATTCCAATGATTTATATTCTCTCTGGGCATCTAATATTAAACAGGGGAATTCCGACATGTTCCATAACACATTTACTGTAACTTGATACCATGAACTAAACTTGCTGTTATTTATCATTTCTTTTTTATTTTCTCTCATTCCAGCACAAAGCCAAGGTAGAAGCAATGACCCTGGACCTCGCTCTGCTCTGCAGCGTGCAGCGTTTTGCTGAAGCATTCAAGGCCAAGAATGTGTGAGTGTTCCAGTGCTGGCTTATAGATCATAATTCCTTCTATTGTAATGTCTTTATCAGATGAACAGAGTCAGGAGAATGTAAGCCTGTAGTGTTCTCTTGGCATCCAAACCGGAGGCTCATTTATACTGGCCCTGGCAGAGCAGACTGTATTTTCTTGACTCCAAGTTGCCCTCATTATGAGATGTGTCATCAATCTAATAAAAGTGTCCCAGACGAAAAAACCCAAAAAGACACTATTAAAACATGGGTAAAGAAAGCTAACACAAGCTAAGGCAATTGTAAAGTACATCCTGTTATAGATGTGCTTGGCGTGTCTCTCAGAATTGAGGAAACGTCTACTTTAAGGGCACTCAGGAACAAGTAACTTCACGTGGCCTGTACTGATGGGGCTGGAAATTGGAGCATGCGCTCATCTGGTGCTCCATAAGTCTTTGATGACTGGATGTGGGGCGTGGGTATAGCTCCAAACACAGACGACATCGTAAGACAGTCCTTTCCGAGTCTAGCCCCCTCCTGATGCCCACCTCCCTGACTGGATCTGGCATTTGCTGCATCTTCTCATGTTGGAAGTGAGCATTCTTTCTCAGCCCTTCAGATGCCTAAAGAAGCAGCCATCACTAAGGGCTTGGGTGCTTTTACTATCTGCACAGAGCCCGCTTCCCTTGTCCACAGTGAGAAGAGACGTGAACAGATGGAAAGGATGAAGGAAGATGGAAGGACCTGGACGGAGCGAGGCAGAGACTCAGACCTGCACCCACCTATGCAGTTGCAGTGCTGGCTAGCTGCACGATAGAGTGTTTTGTTTCCATGTGTTTATTTTTACGGTTGCCTCCTTTACAGGGCAAGTAACACTGGTTCCTTGTCTACCTTAGTGGTTTCAGTTTCATTAATAAGTAACTTCACTGAATTTTATTTTCCAGTAAGATGTTTGAAGCGCAAGGATCCAGTTAATCACAGCCCAGTGGGTGCCAGGGAGGAAGCCATAATGCAAGTGGTTCCATGTCCTGGGCCAGGAGGGCTTCGACTAGGCTGAGGACCTCAGGTTTACAGTTCCCTACACAGATGAAGGGTATGAGGGCAGGGATTGTCAATCTGAAATTCAAACGCCACTGTGTATAGCTGACCCCACAGCACTCCCAGTATCCAGCTCCTGGCCACCCTTTTCTTTTAGACTATCACAGTATTTGAACTTTCAAGCACTTTGCAGAGCTTGCAAGTGGGCCTACTCCACAGTGTGCTTGCTGTACAGAGACTTGTGTCATTCCACAAGCACATACCCTTTGCTGCCTCATAGGCACAGCTAGATTCTCCCACCTCAACCCTGCCATCTAGAAGATCTGCGAGCCCCACTGAGTGCCCCTTCCGTGCCCTCGCTAGCTGCCCTCGCTTGCCTGAACTCAGAGAAACTGCAGACCAGGAAGAGCAATGGCTGCACGTTTATTCAGTTCACCCTCCACCATTTGTTTGTCTGCAGTTCATTTACTTAACACACGTTCCATGAGCACCTCCAAATTCCCAGGTTCTGGGAGAACATTGGTGGCCGTCGGGGGCCAAGGTAACTTCAAACAAACCGTAGTCTCACTTGTCAGCAAGCCCTGTTTTATTACTGATATCTGACCTCCCAATCAAGTCTATCTGTGCTTGTCGAGGGGAAAATTACATTTGTTGGGGGTTTGATGGATGGGGGCGGGGCACACTTAAAATGTCTTGCACACAGCTGGATCAATTCCCAAAGCGCTCTTTCATGGTGGGAGTGACTGTTTCTATTAGGCCGGTGTGAAAAGTGAGGGGAGAGAAAGAAACATGTCTAAAAGCATGCGGTAAATCTTAATCATGCCGGAAACTGCCTTTTATTTTGAAGGGAATGAAAACTGAGACTCAGAAAACCGTTGTCTGCCCCAGGGTCACCTGGCCATTGGGGGCAGATTTGGATTCTGTCTGTTCTCTTTCTCCTTCCCTGATGCCCACTGCTCTCTGTAGGCCTTGCCGCGCCTGAATGAGCTGTGGTGCGAGTGAGCAGTTTTGCTGAAGGGTAGTAGCATCGTCCTGCACAGCGGAACAGGATCATTAGTTTTCGACCATTAAATAGTTCAGAAATCATCAAATTTAAGGGCCTTCTTGATCACTGAGCCCAAACTCCTGGAGGGAACAATCACCCGTTTTGCCCTAATCCATGATTTCAGCTTGGAATTTTCATCCTGAGGGCTTTCCTTTTAGAACCCTTGCTCCCCTCCTTTTCGTGTGTGTCTTAAGGGTGCAGGATTGCTCACAACTTAGAGAAATATTGTGGTGGTGAAAATATGCATAAAAAAGTGAGCCATTTTTCCTTTTGACATACTGCCAATACTGGAGTCTCCCCTGGTGGGGTAAATGGCAGCTCAGTACTTACAGTCTTTGGGTTCGGAGAACTGTCAAAAGTGAATTTAAGTGCTGGTGACCCGGCTGCCAGAAAAACATGTGTATCCCTAGTCTTACCATCGCCTCCTATCTTTAGACGTTAAAATTTCCTTGTGTATAAAGCGTAATGACAAATTCAAGGAAGGTCGCCAGTTCAGAACCAGTGTCTTTTTTGTGCAGTTGGACTTAAGTGAGGAAAAGCCCTTCCATATAAAGTCCACGTGGAGGCTCCATTATACTCCATTTAATGTACTGTTTCGATGCCTGTGTGTGTGCACTCCCAATCCCATCATGCTCCATGCAAGTGTGACCTCTCACCCTGGGAAGTGCAATGCATTTTGTTATCTGGGGCTGAAAGAATGGAGGCTGGGGGTAAAAGACTGGTATAAGATGCAGCCATGGTGTGTGCTACAGAGCTAGCTTCACCCTGCCTAGGGAAGGTATGCAATCAGCCTCTGGAGATGTCTTCTTTTTAGAGGGTGAGGAGGAGGAGCCTGTGTTAGAATAAGCACTGCTAATGACAATTATGGAGGCAGTAGGTGCTAGCTAATTTTTTGTTTATGCAAGGCATTGTGCTAATCTCTCTCTCTCTCTCTCTCTCTCTCTCTCTCCATATGGGACAGGGTGGGCATGTACATGTGGACAGGTGGGCATGTACAGCCAGAGGTTGACAATGGCTGTCTTCCTCAGTTCTTCTTTACCACCCCCCCCCACCTTTGAGTCAGGGTCTTTCACTAAACCTGGAGCTTTGCCTTGCCTGGCTGGCCAGTGAGCCCCAGGGATCCTCCTGTCTCTGCCTCCCCAGTGCTGGGTTTACAGATGCATCTTGTTTTGCCTGGCTTTTACATGAATGCTGGGGACGGAGCTCAGGTTCTCATGCATGGGGGGTGTTAGATAGATCGGGAAAGAAGTGCCCAGTCACACAGAAGGACTCTGACAAGGTAGAGCTTATTGAAATTGGAGATCACAGGGGTTCAGCCCCCAACTTGGGAGTGAGGAACGGCTGTCAACTTGTGGGCTGTTGCCTGGAGGCTTTTATAGGGGGTTAGGGAATGTGGAAGGTGGGAAAAGATAATTCAAACAGTTTCCGTGAGAAGCAGGGGTCTATGCATTGTGAAACTTATCGGGGGAAGCAGCGTGTACTGAGGCAGCTCTTGTAGCAATCGGGTCATTAGTTCAGGGACCTGTTTATCTTCTAAACTTACCTGGGGGAAACAGACTATGTTGGAAACTGTCTCCTCATGGCCTGGGCAGCAGGTGCTGACTTAATTCCTGTTTTCGAGAGGCTCCCAGGGCCTGTCTTGTGAGGCTTTACTGCACTGGGGGAGGGTCACTGCAGACCTGGACTCTAACAGGGGGAATCTACTGTACCATCTGGGCCATCTCCCAAGACCCTGCACTCAGCTCTTACACATGGATTCTCTTTGTGGTTGTGTACTGTAACCTTAGATGTTTGCCATTTTCATCCAATCCAGAAAGTCCATGTATAGAGTCTTTATCACTTTCCTGCTTGCGGCCAGTGTTAGGTTCAGGATTTGAACCCAAGTTTGTCAGAATCCAGCACGAATCTTTCTGTTGCTTCTGTACTCTGAGCACATGTTTTCAGTATGGATTTCTGTATCAGTTATGTGTTGCTATGTAACAGATTACCCCCAAACTTTATGCCATACAACAAGATTAAGGGTTGAGGGTGCAACTCAGTGGTAGAACACTTACCTAGCATGCACAATCTATGGGGTTCCATCTCTAGCTCTGCAAAAACAATGACAGAAACCCTTAAAAGAGTAAACCTTTGTATTTCCCTCCCTGTTCTTTCTTTCCATCTGTACTGGATAGCTTTACTTGACAACTTGACACACCTGGGTAGAGGGAGCCTCAATTGGGGAACTGCTTCCATTGGACTGACCTATGGCCATGTCTGTGGGGTATTTTCTTGATTGTGGAGTGTTGTGGGAGGGCCCAGCCCACTGTGGGTGGTGCCACCCCAGCCAGGTTGTTCTGTGTTGCATAAGAAAGCAGGATGAGCTTGGGCAGTAAGCAGTTTCTCCATGTCTTGTGCTCCTGCCTCCAGGTTCCTGCCCTGAGTTCCTACCTTGGACTACCTGATGAATTGTGACCTGGGAAATGTAAGCCGAATAAACCCTTTCCTCCCCAAGTTTGTATCGCTCGGAGTATTTTGTCATAGCAATTGAAAAGAAACTAGAACCCCATCCATGTCCTAGTTTGTTTCTCCATTGCTGTGACAAAATACTCTGCCCAATAACAACTTGGAGAATACTCATGACCGCTGGCCAGGACTGTTCCCTTGAGGTCCTGCACGTCTTGCCACCCAGTCCTGCCTCCTCTCTCTTGCTCATTTTCTTTTTCATTCTTTTCTTCTATGACTCTACCCTCACTCTCCTGGGTGGTCAGCCCAGGGACTAGTTTGCTTCTAGATAGTTCTCCCCAGAGTTAGTGGTGGTGGTGGTGAGCCAGTGTGTCTCAGGTCGAATTATTCTGGGCATTACTGAAAAGTTCCAAACCAAAGACTGTGGTAATTTCCCACCGAACTGTATTTGGAAGGGCATTTTTGTTTAAACTGGGATGCTGGAGGGAAGCCA